CTATGGTCTTTGTACACTGGTTGGTTTACTTACGTTAATATTTACTTTCTTTCGTTGTTTTGGGATGCTTATCAAAGCTGCAAATTTCCTTTGGCAAAATCTGTAAGTTCAGCGCTTTGTGTACTGTTTAGTTGAAGTAAAGAAGCATGAAAAAAAAGATTATTCAACAGTTGTCACTCACTTCACAAGTCGACTGTTGGCGCTTAAAATCTGATGATTTTAACACTTTGCTGTTCCTCTATTCTTGGTGGCTCCGGCTCTTGTGAGCTAGGAAAAACTGAACTTCGACGACCTTTTGAAACATTTGACTGATCATAATGATGAGTCAGTGTACGGTATATTGAAGACAAGTATGCGATGGATGGTCGTAGTAGGTATTTTTTGAGCACGCTAGTGGTAAAAAAATTTTTTGCTTACAAACCTTTTGAATAATTTATGTGAGGCTCTTAACTGTGGAGTAATACGATTGTTAAACCAAAGTATCTGTTTACTCGCGTCAGGGACACAGTAACTCTTTCTAGAGGTTATAGAACTTTAATGCTGCAAAAGAAATCTCGTTCAACTGTAACGATGACTCTGTAACTGCAAAAAAAATACTTCAAGTTTTTGTACAAAAAGCATACAGTTATCGTGGGTGGTGGTGGGCATGACTTGAAGGTGGTGGTGTCACAGTGAGCAGCGGCTGTAGTTAGATGATTGTTGATGATGTATTATAGTTTTGGACAGTTCTCAAACTTTGAATCAGTTTTTCAGAGGGGGCATTCTTGTAGCTGTTTTAAAGCGTTTCTCCACTGCTGGTAAATTAGCAACTGTTGATTTGATTTGCCGTATAAGTTTTAAGGAGTAGGAGAGGGAGGGGGGAAGGAGAAAGAGAGGAATAGAATTAATAAGATTTCGAACTGTTGGTATTTGATCGCTCGAGTTGTCGTTTGGTTTTATGGATTCTGGAAGCATTTGAGTACATCAAAAAGTCAAAAACAGTCAAATTAGCAGAAACTGTTGCCATGCGTATTATAAGAGCGACTCAGATGCCGTAACAACACACTGGTAACCAGTGGGTGTATTCGGCAATTTATTGAACGCGACTTTCAATATCCAACTTTTAAACTTTGCAAACGTATATTTTATGGGCCATTCCATGCCAAACTGCACACTTCTTTTTGATTGGTATCTCAAAAGTTTTTTAAATTTTGATGTTTATAAAAGCCTGAGCCCGATATAAAAACAGTCTTAGCTAAAACTCTACTCTCCCTCTACAACAGTCAACGAATACAAAATTAAAGAGTCACAGAATGTTCGAGTCTACGTGACTCGTTGCACGTATACAAGGTAACAAGTTGTGAACACCCTCCTAATACAATTTTCTGAAACAATTTTGTGACAATTAGAGCGTATATTTTTAATAATGGCTTAAATACAAGCGAATGCTGTAAAAACAGTAAATTATTATCAGTTCTGCAGTGAATCCCAAGATATAACTCTCAATCCCGTTTATTGAATGTCACCACCTTGTGATATTTCATAGAGCAAAAAATTCTGTACAAAATGTATTTTATTCAAAAAAATAAAAAAGTTCTTTTGTAATTTTTGGTGGAACTATTCCTTCTGCTTTATCTGTCCAACTAGGTAACATTATTAAAAAATATAAAATGCCTCAAAAGCAGAAGAAAAAGAAAATCTGTTAAAACAAAAAACATTAGATTCTACTAAGGCTGGGCCGAACGACAAGTCTTCGAAGCCAGATATGTTATGTACCCTGTCAAATTTTGCGATTTTGAGGGACATAACTTGGCGAAGAATTCAGTTTTCCAAGTCACCCCCCCATTTTTTTATATCTAATTCAGGCTCTACAAAACATTAAAATTTAAAAGATTTCTGAGATATTAACTAAAAAAAAATTGTCCAATTTGGCGTACAATTGACGGGGGATCCAATATGCAAAATTTAAAAGCTGGATATTGAAAGTTGCACTTAATGAGTTGTAGAATATATTCAATGCTCCTCAACGTATTGTTTCGACATCTGAATCGCTCTCCCAATACGTATGGCAACAGTTTCCACCAGTTTAATTGTTTGTAATTTTCTGAGGTACTTAAATGCTTCCAGAATTGATAAAATCAAACGACAAATCGAGCGACCAAATACTAGTTCAAAATCTTTGGAAACCCCTCTCTGCCCCTTAAAACTTATACAGTAAATCAAATTAGCAGTTGTTAGTTGCTAGCAGTAGAGAACCACTTTAAAATAGCCACAAAAAAATCATTTTCAAGAAATCAACAATTATTTCGCTATTTCACTACAGCCCCTTTTCACCGTAACACCACCACTCTATATAATATATATAGCAGTGACTATCATTGATATTGCTTTTATCAAATAAATAAGAAGTAAAAATACGCATAGAAATGAAAAGAAATATTTTGAATTTTAAAAGTAGCTAGGATAAATTATATATA